CTATCTATCTATCTATCTATCTATCTATCTATCTATCTATCTATCTATCATATATATATATATATATATATATATATTTGATTATTGTGAAGAATGCTACAGTGGACAAAGAATGAAAATGTCTCTTTGACTTCCTGATTTTAGCGCTTTAGGATTAATATCCTAAATATTAATATTTAGTGAGGATCCTGGATAATATGGTTGCTCTATTTTTATTTTGCTCGAGGAACCTCCACTCTTTTCAACAGCTGCCTGAAAGATTATATTCTCAACAACATGTTATAAGGTTCCAGTCTCTCTCCCTCTGATCCTGGCAAGAGTAAGGTGATATCTTACCTTGCCTTTGACCTGAACGGTCTAATACCTCTTTTACATTAGTAATAACATTTTCAACTGCAATTGAAATTCCCACCAACTGCAATTTCAACTGCAATTCCCATCAAGGTTTGATACATCTTTGTTCACAGCTGAAAATGATCTTTGCAAGAAATCTGTGAAGGCTTTCCTAGAACCTTGCACAATCTTAATAAATGAGGTGGACTTTCTCCCCAGAATCTTCAACTTTGTCCTAAGTCCTTAAAGCCAATAAGTGATATTGTTCTATAACATTATCATCAAATTTATCTTTGTAAATCAGAGTACTGTCCTTTACCAAGCAACTGACTTTTGACAATATTCATTCCCCTTGCTCTATTTTGCTGTTCAATATTCACTGCTACCTCCCTCTACCTATTTAACCATTGTAACTGCTTATCAGCCTCTAGTACAGTCTAGCTGTTACCAGACCCTTCCAATCTTGGCAAATAATTCTATTTTGGATAGCCTAGTTACTTAATATTTGTTTTACATAAGGTGAGTGCATCCTATAGGAAGTCAGGGCCTCTTTAAAATACCTCAGTTTCATCATTCCTACAGGACACCACACTATCTCATCCTAATCATAATCTGTACCATTAATAGGCATGAGCTGTATGATGACTGGAAAAAACAATGGTGGCTTTGTAATCCCAGGCCACCCCTCTTCTGGTTGTGCAGTCAGCTCAAGGTTATCCTTTTCTTTCAAGATGAGCTGTTTTCTTTAATCCTGTCATCCTGAACGGCCTCTTCCTCGTTCTGGCCACACACCCAGCTCCCCACCCCAACCAGGGACTTTGGGAACTTAAAACTGAAACTGTGTGTAGCTGGGTAGGGCTAAGATCTGTTGTCTAGCCTGGTTTGCTTTCCTCTTGCATACTGCGGGAAGCTCCCATTTTCTCTTGCTCAGTCTGAGCAAAAAGATTTGAGCCCTTTTACTCTCCCTTTTCTAGAGCTTCTCAGTTTTCAAGCACTTCTGCCTCTACCTGAAATTTTTCCAGTTGCACAGCCAACTCTGCAACTCTTTCAGAAATGAGACAGTAGAGTGACTCTTATGGTTTTCCCATTTTAGCCATTGTTTGTTTCTCAGGTTCCTCACTTGCCAATCACAATTGTTCCAATTGCTCAGCCACTCTTTTAACCTCTTTTTGAGACAGAATATAGGACAAAGGAAAAGAAAAAAACCCAGAAAATCCCTTCTGGGAGCAAAGCAGGTGAGAGCCTAGTGGCAGTAGCCATAATAACACCTTGAGACAGAATATTCATCCCTTCATCTCCTGCCATTTGCTCTACAGTATTAGAAATCAGATTTCCCATTCTGCCTAGCCTCACATCTGGGCACTTGTAGCTGTAATATTTAGCTATTTATTGGGTTCTTTTATCTACTTCCCTCCACCACCCCTATTTATCCCAATCCCCCAACATTATGTAGAAAAAAAAAAAGGTTAGAAGGGGAAGGGGTGTGAGTATCATTAGAATACTTCCTGCTGATTGAGTCAAGGAGTTCCTTGGAGCAAATTTGAACTCTGTCTTCAAAATATCTCCAACCAGCAACCAGCAGTCTAGCAAATAGCAACCAGCAACAACAGCAGGAACAAACAGCAACCACCACCAGCAGCAGCACATGTTTGCTTTATAATTGTTTAATTTTTTACAATTTATCCATTATATATCCAGATTAAAGCTCCCTCCCTCAATTCCTCCCAGTCTCACCCTCCCTCCCTCTTCTCCCCTATCCTGTTTCCCTAGTCCACTGAAAGGGAGAGTTCTCCTCCTCTGCCATCTTCCCATAGCTTATCAAGTCTCATCAGGACTGCCTGGATGTTCTTCCTTTGTGGCCTGGCAAAGCTGCAGCACCAGGAGCAAGTGACCAAAGAGTAGGCAATCAAGTTCATGACAGAGGCACCCCCTGCTCCCCTTACTCGGGAACCTACATGGAGACTGAGCTGCCAGTTGGCTACATCTGAGCAGGGAATCTAGGTCCTCTCCATGCATAGTCCATGGTTGGTGCTCAGTCTCAGCAGGATCACCTGGGCTCAGGTTCTTTTAGCTTTGTTGGCCTCTTTGTGGGGCTCCTGTCCCCTCCTTGTCCTTCTATTCCCACTTCTTCCATAAGACCCCCTGTGCTCTGCCCAAAGTTTGGCTGTGAGTGTGAGCATCTGCTTCGATCCCCTGGATCGAAGCCTTTCAGAGAACCTTCTATAGTAGGTTCCCTTTCAGTCCCTTCTCTTCCACAGCTTCTGATGTCTATTAAATGCTAAAAATATAAAACTGTCTTCTCCAGATTTTGGCGTGAGGAGATTGTAAAATGAGGAAACCTCTGCTGGAAAGAGGTCTAGGAGCTTAGAAGTGGACTGTTAAAACCTTTGACGACACTTGTAGGCTAGAAGGAAACTTAGCCCCAGTTCTTTGGGGATCTTATGTACCTTCTTATAGGCATGCTCCTTCGTTTTAGAGGTCAGATACATGTGTGGGAGGATGAATTTGTAGTCATTTGTCTTCCTCTTGTGCTTAAGCCTGAGGGGTGGAGTTTCATTCCTGAAACCCACATGGTAGAAGGAGACAACCAACTGTGTCAGGTCGTCTTTTGACATCCACGTTCATGCTGTGTCACACATTCAGTCACCCACCCTGTGTCAACTGTTCACCCGTGCATATACGCAGGCAAGTGAATTAGCTAATTAATATAACAGCATGTTTAAATGTCATGATGATTATAGAGTAAGTTACTCTCAGAGTTAGCTGCCTGCTGAATAGTCATTGGTGGCATGCCACTTGCAGAACAATTAAATACACTTGTAGCAAGCACTATTGCATTGGTCAGTGAAGGTTTTATGAAAAATAAACCCAGTGTCCATTCTGAAGAGTTTCAGTCATAAATGTTACAAAAAACTCTGTTTGTATTACAATACTCTGCTATGTAATAATTATATATTAATAGTGTAAATGGGTCAGACTCGGGAAAATTCCATATCAGAACTAAATTATTTCATTTCTTCTGGATTTCTTTCCAATGGCTTATCCCACAAGAAACTGTCATGTCTAATCTAAATAGGCAAATGACCCAGCAAGCACTTGTCATCAAATGACACATAGGAGCCAAGAAAGATGTCTTTGTTTCTGATCCCCACTGCAAAGTTTTTAAACAAAATTTTGCATACTCTGATCTGTCATAACTCTAATAGTTTCTGACTCAATTGACCTTCAGAATCGTGAGAAGCCAGAGTCCTGCAACAGACTGAGATGCAGCCTTTGTAACTGCCCTACAAGTCGTAGGTTATGTCTGTGGCCTGGCCAACTGACAGGTGTAGTCGCTCTGTGAGATTCTGCTATGCCACCTTCCCTCCAAGGGAATACTTCAGTTTGGATAAAGTGAATTGAAACAGGTGAAGGTAAAAGGAAAAAGACCAAATAAGCTCACTCACCTCAAAAATCATGGAAGTTGCTTTGTTGTTCCATTTTTAAGAGGATGTCATTCCATTTTCAAGAGAGAAACACAAGAGTTGGGACTGATAATACTTTTGTCATAGGATTAACTCCTTTAACTCCTTCTTGAAAAGTATTTGTGCATCTGAAGAATGGAATGAGCTCTCCCTAGGCTTCTTCCTCTCAGGTTTCTTGATAGTCAAAATACAGCCTCCCAGTTCAACTTCTAACAGTGTAACCACTGTTACTCTAGATGCCATTTCAGGGAGAATGCTGATACTTTCTCATTTTCAAAGAGAGTGCAAGACAGGTTTTTGTTTGCTTGCTGCTAAACATCAAGATGTGTTTTACTTCAGTTTCAGTTCTGAAAGTTCCATAGAGAAATCACCAGACATTTTCTGCCTGGTGGCATGGAAAGGGTTTTAAATCCAAATAACTCTGGGAATAGTTAAAAGCATGCTTCTTTGGCGAGGCAAGCTGAGCTATCAAAACAGGGCCTGGCAACTGCTTGGCTGGCAGGGATTTGTGCTGCTTGCATGGGCAGAGACTGCTTAAATCACTGCATCCAGCAGCTGCTGGTTAATTTGCGTTTTGGAATAATATTTCACGCGGTGTTTATTGAAGGTCCTGGTGCATATAAAAAAGCCCAGCAAAGAGAAGAATTAGTGGAGTTTTGGATACAAAGCCTCACAGCTTAGATTTAAAGGCAAGGGTGCTTTGCAAATCAGGAAAGGCCTTCTGGAGCATAAAAGATGTGCCACAAGGACTTGCTACATCTTGAATTTAGCTTTGTTGTCCATTCCCTGGTCCAGGCCCACATCACAGTTGTCTAAATGCCCCAGTATTCGTTGGCATTCTCCTAGTTGCCAGCATCTTCCTATGCTAGGGTAGTCCACACTGCCTTACCCAGTAGGTGAAAGTGCCTTCTTGTATAGTGTTCATTTCTTCCAGGTACCATGGGACCTCGCTGGTGCAAACCACTCTCTGTTTTCTCTAGCACTGCCTGTCACTGCAGCCTCTAACTCCATCCCCTGCAGTTCGTGCTGCTCCTGACAAGACCCTCTCAGTTCAGTATGTCTGCCTTCCATACAAGATTTCTCTTGAAACTTGAAATAGCCAAGCTTTTCAGGATCTGAAATCAGCTCATTTGCTAGGGACTCTAGGTTTTTTGTTTGTTTCCACATCTTTGTTTATACCTCTCAACAGCCAGTTAAGGAAGACCTTATCATTTTCACTTTGCAGCTCAATTAGGTTATCTGGACTCAGCTATTGAAGAATAGAGCCCAAAATTACACACTGCTCTTTATTCCCTAGTTCAGGGTCCTTTCCATTTTTCTTTCCAGTGCTCTGCGACTGTTTCTGTGGTTACTATAGCCATTTTCCTGGCTGTTCATTACTTTTAATGTTTGCTATCATGCCAGTTAAAACAGATAGTGGGTGCTTGTTCATTGATGTTTCAGTACCGGCACTTACAGGGTTAGAAAACACTCAGGTGGCGGGGGCTGTCTTATCAAGGCATCTGGCAAAATGCACAGGTTTTTGCTTTGACATGCTGTGCAGTTATTTCTAGGAGAATTACAGTCTTTCCAAAGAGTCCCACTCACTGGCATGCATGAGAGCAAAGTATCTGGCATGCACAAGCATTCATCCTGAGAGTCAAGTGATTCAACAAAGAAAACCAGGTCAGCCAGCAACTCAGCAGCAATCTGGCATCTGCTGAAATTGTAGAGTAGCCCTCGGAGCCCGTGAGCTTTGCATGGATTCATTCATCCAACTGTGGCTCAAACCTGGACTAGGGATAAGCAGACTATCATTTACTAACAATACAGCATAGTAGCTTATTTGACATTCATGTTACGTTGGGTATCATAAGTAATTTAGAGATGATTTAAAATATAGAGAGGACGCATACACACCCCCGTAAAGGGCCTGGGATCAATCTCCCATGGATCCCGAGAGATCTGCATTACCTCTTGGTGTCGGAGAAATCTATGTATCGGCTATCCCAAACTCTGCCAGATTCTTCTGTCTGCCCCACGGAGTCTTTATCTATTAGGTCACTATTAAGAAGTATGGCGGTTATTGCTGTTAACAAAATCACAACTTAATATCATGGGTCTCTGCAATGCGTTCACATTTCTGCTTTCTCTCCTCTCCTCTATGTCTCAATCCTGCAAACCGTTGGTTACACCATGGACATGGAAGGTTAGCTCTGAGTGGGAGTTGGCTTGTGGCTCTTTCCTCAGTATCAGGCATGTATTAGTTGTGAATCAAATGAATGAAACGGGGAGTTAGAATTTTAATGCTGTTTTCTCCTTCTCCAGGTAACACCACGAGACAGAAGCCGAAAACCCACTTCTCTCGGTGCCCCAAACAGTACAAACATTACTGCATCCATGGGAGATGCCGATACGTGGTGGACGAGCAGACGCCCTCCTGCATGTAAGCAGAAGGCCCTGTGCCCATGAGCAGCATACTCTGGTTGCGGCTTGACAGCATTGGAAACTCTGAGCTAACCCACCCATCTGTCCGGACACAGTTCCGTCTGGTCCTGCCTTCAGCCACTTTTTTAAGGGCCAGGCTCAGCACCCACTTGTGGAGAAACTGACACAGACTTTCCTCCTGAAATATGAGTGTGAGAATCCAGACCCAGTTCCACACGTCTGGTGTCCTCTGCTCCCTTGAGCAAGCAAAGGCGATTCTAACTGTGTTAGGATGCTCGTCAGTTCCAATCATCTCCTGGGTGGTTCAAATGAGAACAGATTTTTTGGCATGCCTGAGGCGGTTCTGTAGTTAACGTAAATACGAAGGGATTTCTGCCAAATTAGACACTGTTTCTTTTTTGCAGTTGTCAGTAAAGTGTGAGGAAGTCAGACTTATTTCTGATTAGAGAGTAACAAGGCCTATTTAACCCAGTAGGGAGTAGGAAAGAAGTTGACTTTTTGAGTCTTAGATAAAGAGCTCAAGTTTCAACTTTTTGTGTGTGTATTATTAATATTAATTTTCTCCTAATGTGATCTCTCTTTAAAGAGAATTCTGGGATTTTACTTCACAGAGGGATCAAGTGATTCTTTAAGCATAATTTTGACCTTAAGTTCCCAGAATATGTATGTTCTTCCATACGGCTTCCCAAATGTATGTAATTTTCCACAAGTATCTCACAAGCATATAAAATCTCACAATCTTGCCTGAACATTAAAGGCCATGGACTTCCTGGAAATTTGATTCAATTCAACTCTAAGAAGAAATATGCCCAGATAATACTTAGAGGTGGGATAAGAATTGGTTGTCTAAAAAAACAAGGGCTTGTATGTGTGTGTGTAAGATGATTTAAAAAAAAATTATTCAGTTGTTTTACTAGGTTGGAGACATACACTGAATCTTAAAAAAAGATGAATGCCCAGTTCATTTTATTCTCATTGGTTCTCGCATCTGCAGATTTATTGTTCTTTAACTGTGCTGTCTTCAGAGATGAGAATCAGACTGTGTGATCTCACTGCCTAAGATCAATTCACAGTTTTGCCCCTTGGCCAGAAGGTTAACACCTACTTTCTTAGCCTGAAAACTTCTTCTGATCCTGAATTAACTTTCTTCTTCTATTTTTCACTGAGTTTGCCGATTCTCTAGAATTCTGTGCTTTTTTTTTTTCTGCCCAGGGTTTGGTATACAAATCCTTCTGTTAGCCTAGAGAGCTTTTTCCCTGCTGGTGATATAAGAGGACTCAGCTCTCCCTTCCTCTTACTTTGCACATGGGAGACGGTCAGTGGAAATAATCACCAGGTGAAAATAATCACCAGATGACGTGTGATTGGTTTGTTCACGGGTGAAAATGACCGGAGACATGCTCTAGCCATGCTAAAGTTTGACTTCCAGTATGATGTCATTGGGCTACAAACTACAGGAAGTTCCACTTGCTGAGATGTTCCATTAAAGCTACGTAGAGAACCCAGAGTTCAGAGTTAGACAAAGGTTTCTGAAGAGCAGTGCGTAATAGCTGGTCATTTATGGGCGAAACAGTGGTTTTAAAGAGTCATGTGGTAGGCTTGTTAAAGAAATTGTTATGCTAATTAAGAGCATGTTTGTAAGAGTTTGTTATATTCTTTATAAACTCTTAAAAGCATTCCCTGACACATTCAATTACTCCTAGTCTTAAAATCCTAATTTTAAGAGCGTTTTTTTTATATTTTTAGTTCTAGTTCTCAGTCTACAGTTTTTAAATTAAATAGCTACTTACTTCACTTTCTGTGTGTGTGAGCATGCACGAGCATGTACCTGAGCGCATATATGTGATATGTGATGCGCATGTACACAGGAGCCTGTGGAGGCCAGAGGAAGGCATTGGATCATCTGGAGTTGGAATTACAAATGGCTGTGAGCTTCCATGTGGGTGCTGGGCATTGAACCTGGGCTCTCTGGAAGAGTGGCAAGTGCCCTTAACCACTGCGACATTTCTCCAGCTCCTTAGCCTGTGTTTTGACCTTCAAGTGAAGACACCCAGTGTTCTTGAATGAAGCAATTCTCCCGCACCTGTCCAGAGACCCTCTTGTTGCATCCTCATGGGAGCTTCTCTGCCCTGTGCACAACAGTTCACATTTTCATTGCTTCTATGCCTGCGCCTGTTGGCTTTTGAAGCATTTTGTCAGCTACGATGTTGGCAACTGGGATCGTCTTACTGAAGCAGTGCTGGCTTTGTGGGAATTAACTGCCCTGGCTCCTGTTGGGCATCAGCTATAAAACAGCTTGGCAATAAATTCTGAGGGTTATAACTAAGCGAGGTTGCCCAGAAATCTTTTCAAGGTGCAAGATTCGGTATTTTTGATATTTAAATGATTGTGCGTGTGACCGGTATTTCTTTGTGTTTGAGTGTATCTGTAGAGAATAAGGGTAACTATTAATACAAAGATGCTGATGTTGCCAAGAGATAAATTTGACTCAAATGCACCCAATTTTTCATGTATCTTTTAAGGTTCTTATAATAACTCAGAGAATTTTACTCAGAGTCCATATGTCACCAAGCTATTAGATCAAGGAGCAAGGATAACTCTCAACTTGGCCAAAAGTTTCTTTCCCTAACTTACCCACAGACTTGAGGAATCTGCCGAGTTAAAGTATATCTTGAGATTATATTGATAGAGAAGCGAGAGACTGGAGGAAGCCATAGCTCATTGCCACTGCTGACTGATCCCGGTAGTTTTTCTTTAATGGGGGCCACGGAATCCAAGGACATGGCTTAGAGAGAAGCCGAGTGGGAGCAGTGGTGAACGCACCTGAAAATGTAACCGTGCTCGCCCAGCAAGCAGAACAGGCTAGGGCAGGATATAGCTGTGAGGTATGGAGGAATGGGCAATTGGATTGCTTCCTAATGGTCTCCCCAGTCATAGAGTTAGGGCTCTGTGTTGGGGAGATCCTGTAGAGAAGACCTGTGTGGGACTTTATGATTTTGAATTTAAAGTTATGGAGTCATGGGATTTTATATACATTACCATGTTGGACTATAGGAAATCCTGGAATTTATTTGTTTTTGTTTGAGATGTGTGTGTGTGTGTGTGTGTGTGTGTGTAAGCCTGGCTATCCTGGAACTAGCTCTGTAGAACAGGCTGGCTTTGAACTCACGGAGATCTGCCTGCCTCTGCTTCTTGAGTGCTGGGTTAAAGGTGTGCGCCACCACGGCTGGCTGTATGAAATCATGTAGTTTGAAGGTAGAGCATTGCTGCAGAGGAATGTTTGTCTCACCCTACAGCGAAATGAGACTTTGAGTCTTACTTGTCATGAGGTTTTTAATGTGTTGATAATGCTGTGGAAGGAATTTTAACATCCCCTTCCTCACAAGCTGAATGGTTAAAACTGCAAAACATTTTGATAGGTTGTCAGAGTGGGGCAAGGCCCTGGGGCTCCTGAACGCAGCGGAGGAGGAGATCTTGCCTTCTTTAGTTTAGTTTTTCCTTTTTGTTTTTTTTTTTTTAAGGAACCATGTTCTTTATTAAATAATGAAAACAGTGCCAATTTCTTCCAAAAAGAACTGGAGACTGATAAAAGTGTTTTTCCTGTGCAGCTGTGAGAAAGGCTACTACGGGGTACGCTGTGAGCGAGTGGACGTGTTTTACCTCCAGCAAGACAGAGGGCAGGTCCTGGTAATCTGCCTGATAGCGGTCATGGTGGTGTTCATCATTTTAGTCATCGGGGTCTGCACCTGCTGCCAGTAAGTGCGTTCAAACTGAACCTTCAGTGAACCCGAGAAACTCTGTCTTGCTTTTCTCCCCTGCCCCTTTCTTCTTCTTTTCCTCCGTTCTCTTCTTTTTCCTACATCTCTTCTTTTTTGCTTTGATTTAAATAAATCAGCCTTTTGAGGCTTGTGTTTATTGATATAAGATTTTTATTAGCGGAGTGAAACACGTGGCAGGTAAGTTTTATCAACGTACAGAAAATAAATAGAAGCTAAAACCAAATTCATAGATGTTTTTGGACTAAAAGTTTCAGCCGTTTAGCTCCGAAGGCAGGGGTATTTTGTGTTTGTTAGTAAGTTAAACGGAATTTTATATTTTCCAAACTGTTTCATTACATACTGACATTGCAGAATAAAAACAAACTGAAACATTTTTTGTGACCATTTAAAAATAATTAATTTTATGTGCATGGATGATTCTTCTGTTTTTAATATCGTGAGTTTTCATTATGCATTTGGAAGTGACAGACACCTTTGTTTGAGGGAAAATGGGTTAGGACAATCATTAATATGTGAGCAGTTTTCCCGAAAACCTATCATTAAGCTGAACATTTTCTTGCATTGAGGAGCATCCCTTCCTAAATCATTCCATCCACTTTTGTGCTGTAGACTATGCCCAAAGGAGATGCCTCATAATTCCTTTATAGTGTTCTTGGGATAAAAGAAAGAAACAAAGAATAAAAAACAAACACACACACACACACAAATCCCCAAACCAAAACAAAAAAGTAATTTTGACAAGCTCCACAATTAGGTATTTTTGAACAAATTTTTTAATGTCTTTGAGCTTGGATTGCATTTCCTGCAAAATACAAGTATTCAACTAGATAATTTACAAAAATCCTAGCTATTAAGTTGAAAAGTAGTTTTGAGTTTTTATACTTTATTATATAAAGGAATATTTTTTAATGTCATTTTAAGGTCAGAGGCTATGTTGAACACAGCTGGGAAATGACCTTCTTACATTAATTTTGAACCATATTAATTTTGAAACTAGAGTGCAGCCCAGAATATTAAACCAATGTCTTCATTAATGTGTCTAGAAATTAGTAATATTTCCAGTGGCTACTGTCACTGTTTCAGTTTCTCATGCCCGTTTCCACTCCTTACTACTTCTCCTTAACACCGAGCAGTGCTAATTGTTCTGCACTGTGAAATAACTTTGCATGAAAAATTTTCTTCTAACCACTAATCTCTGTCAATAAGCAGGTACCAGATTCTTCATATGTATATAAATAAATATCACACCACTGTGGACTATGCCAGCTAGCACTTAAACTTGCAAAAAGAAATGTGTCAAAGGCAAAGCCAATGGATATAAGACAAGAAGAGATAAGGTCATAGGCTCTCTTATTGATTACTTCCATATTGACATGAACACACATATTAAAACTAACTCCTTATGTGTTATTTTTGAAGTCCTCTTCGGAAACATCGTAAAAAAAAGAAGGAAGAGAAAATGGAAACTTTGGATAAAGATAAAACTCCCATCAGTGAAGATATTCAAGAGACTAATATTGCTTAATGGTAAGTATGCTAAGCATAGTAGATGGGAAACCTGATGACTCTAAGTAGTGAGTTGGGGCTTAATTATGTCTAATAATAATTGGCTGGAATTGGGTTATGTGTACAAATATATCAAAAGATAAATTCATTTGCTTTTAGGTTTTGTCATAACTGTAGGATGATATAACAATCCAGAAAAATAGAAACAAACAACTATTTTTGTTTGATCATACTAAGATAATTCTAATTTTACTTTCAAAAGACAATTCCACTCTTTGCCTTAGGTGAATGTGATTACCGCAGAAATAGGCATTCTAATGCTACATAGTTGTCATGGTTATTTTGTATATATAAATATTATTTTCTTTTCTTTCACCCTTTTGAATAAAAGAAGAAGTATTTTAAATCAAACATATCATCTCAAGAAAGGAAATACAGTAGCAATAGTAATCTGAAGGTGATGGTGATGATGATAGTGATGATGGAGACGATACCTTTCATAGCACACTTATGAACTCCTGAAGTATTTGTGAGTCAGGATCCCAACTGTAGTCACAGATCCAGGAGGATCATCATGTCCCTCAATTCTGGCAGCAGCAAGAAGCTTGTGGGGTCATGGCGAGCATTGACCATAGAGGCACTCCTCTAGGTGGAAGCAGATTCTATGGCAGAAAGAGCCACTGCTGAACCCTAAACAATGAAATAAAATGCCCCAAAGTACCTCTGCTTTAGATATTCAGCACCTGCCTGGCACTAGATAGCTCTAACCCTGAACAAACCAACAGTGGATTGGAGGCCCAGCCCATGTGATCGGTAGCAGGAGCCCCTTGGAAGGGGCTCGGCAAGGGGCTCACAGAGGTCAGAAGCAAGTGGGACAATTGGGTTATAATGACATGAAATCCCACTAAGGCTGTTTTAAAACTGGTAGTATGTTGACCCTCAAGAGGTGGCTGCGTGGTTCGCGGAACTGAGACCCATGCTTAAAGCAATAGGATTCCTCTCTTTCTGCTACCTGTTCACAGCATTGCCTAAATTCCTGGCCAGTCCCTGTAGGTTAAAGGAGAGGCTGGCAGCAATCAGGCCTGGCATTCCCTTGTTCACCCTCAGCATAAGAAAGCAGTTGCCGCCCATAACTCTCCGTGTATACAATGACACTTCTTTCCACAAACATCTCAGGAGCCAAGAGCGGCTAATGACACTTGCTGAGGAATTACATTGTTCCTATTATTTATTATGAAGGCAACACTAACAACTAACACAAATGCCAACTCTGGATTAGCTATTATTGTTGTATTGTATATTACTTTATTTTATAGTTGCTGCTCTTTTTTTCTTCCTTCTCACAGGTTATAAAGTTGTCATAAGCTGGTATGGCGAGCTACAGAAGACCTGACTCATTTGCAGATGGACAGAAAGTGTCTCAGGAAAACAGCTAGCGGAAATGAATGTCTAAATATTGTATTTACTTTTTTATTTGTATTTGTAACTTTGTGTTGTTTGTTATTGTTTTTAATAATGATGTTTTTATTACAGTCTAATAATCAGGAAAAAGGGCCTGGTTAGGTAGCAACAATAATAAGGAACATTTCAAGATAATTTTGTTGCCAGGATTATTAGTCAAGTAAAGAAAAAGTGGGAACGAAGTTAGATTTTTAATAACTGATTATATAATACACCAAACAGTGGTGGCACACGCCTTTAATCCCAGAAGTTGGGATGCAGAGGCAGGTTTATCTCTGTGAGTTTGACTCTAGCCTGGTCTACATAGCAAGTTCCAGGATGGCCAGGGCTATACAGAGAAACCCTGTCTCAAAAACCCAAAGCAACTAAACAAACAAACAAACAAACAAACAAAAAAACAAACCTGAATCAACACCAAAGCTTATACAGGTACCATATGCTCGGAGTTTGAAATATATTATTTCATTTTATCCTTTCAGCGGTCTGTGAGATTGCATGTTTTTGTCCTCATTGTCATATATGTAAGAGTTACATAATCTCATTTAGATTTAGAGGCAAAAGAATTGATGGAGTCAGAACCAAGACAGACCCAGATTCAAAGCTGGTGTCCTTGTCATTTTGTTAGTTTGAGTCCCTGTATTCTAACTCAACAGTGTAACTCAGGATTTCCTTCTGAGCTGTGCTTTGCTGATTCTGAGTTGTTAGCATTAACACAGACTATGAAGTCCTGGCCAATGCTGCTGTCACCATCAGGATTTCTGTTGGCTTTCATCCTTACTATTATTTTGCTTTTCATGAAGTCTCAGCGGCATGAGTAAATTCTTTTTTTTTTTTTTAAATTTTATTTTTCTTTTTAGTTATATTTTGTTAACTCTGTGTCCCAGCTGTATCCTGCTCCCTCTTTCCCTCCCCAACCCCACACTCCCTCCCTGGTCTCCTCCCTGCCCCTTTCCAAGTCCACTGATAGGGGAGGACCTCCTCCCCTTTCATTTGACCCTGTTTTATCAGGTATCTTCAGGGCTGGCTGCAAAGTCCTCCTCTGTGGCCTAACAGACTGCTCCTCCCCTGGGGGGGGGGGGGGTCAAACAGCCTGCCCTTGAGATCCTGTTAGAAATAGTCCGTGTTCCCCTTACTTTGGAAAACTACTTGGTTACTGAGCTTCCACGGGCCACATCCGAGCAGAAGTTCTAGGTTATATCCATAGATGGTCCTTGGTTGAGTGTCAGTCTCAGAAAAGACCCTGTGCTCAGATATATTTGAACAAAACCATCAGAAAAAGCAAATGACTGGTAAAAACCTTCCGTAGGTGCTTATGCTCAGTAAAGTATAAACAGCACTGGAAGAGACTGTTAATATCGGTGATGGCAAAGCTGAAGAGATGTGACCATACCCTGCTCTCAGGCAAATTTTGATGCCATGACATCCTGAACACAGCATTTATTATTTGAACTATTTTGCCATTGTTGTGTTCCTTTGACTTTGTGCTGTATTTAGTAGAAACGATATTAAATGTAAAAAGAAAATAAAATTTGTATTTAGTCAGTATTCGGTAGAACATGGAACTTTTCACACTGATCAGGTGGGTCACTTCAGAATGTCGATGGGAAGATGCTCCCACGCAGTGGTGCTTCCTGCTTGTTGGGATCTTTGTAAATGTTACTTTACAATAGAGATTTCATAGATGCGAACAAATGTCTGAATTCCCTACGTTCTTTCACTACAGTGTTTGGAAGTAGGCTGGGGTTTCATTAATGAAGATTACCTGCCAATTACAGCTAGTAATTCAAAGAACTGACAAGTTTCAAAATGGCTTTTTTTTTCTTGTGACTTAATGGCTGTCCTTGAAAGGAGGCTACCTGCACCTGAGTCAGATTCATGCTTTATTTAGTCTCCTTGGGCGCATGTATGTATTTCTTTCCAGTCGTTTTTGATGCTAAACAGGTTTGAAATAAATGACCACTAGCACATCAAAAAATGCCACCAATGCTGTTAAGTGTCTCTTCTTTCGCGTCCCTGGTTGGCTGACCAATGCAGTCTCTAAAGATAAGACAACGTTGGGAAACTCTCATTTTTTTTTTATTTGAAACTTTTAATGGTGTCTCTTGAAATTCTGATATCAAGAAAGAAATTCAAGAACTTTCATGGTTTTTCAAAGTGTATTTTGTAATTGTTTTTGCACATACCATGTTGTTTATATAGACTGTCAAGGTTATAACAAAATAAAATAAATTTATTTTTAAACAAAAAAGCTGTATTTTTCCTGGGGCGTTTTCTATTGGTACCATGAATTATGAAAATAAATGTAAGCACAATAATTGCCTTTGGAAAGTTTTTCTTTATAGAAATCATTTATTGAAGCATTAGAAATGCTGTACTTGGCTCACGTGTCTTCTCTTATAATGAAGATTTGGAAGTGTGGCTGTCTTCCGAGGACTCTGACCCTTTCTTTGAATTCTGCCTGCAGCTGTGTTTGCTTGGCTAGTTGAAGTAACTCCTGGGAAGCAGGAAACTTGAAATTAATTTTCCGTGGCTTAGGGATTATAAAAATGTCTGCTTAAAAGTTCTTGCTATCAGTTCATATCTAATAGTGCTTCAGAAGCCACGTGGTTTAAGATAACCTTGAGAGAGACAGACAGACAGACAGAGACAGAGAAAGAGAAAGAGATGGAAACAGAAACAGAGAGAGATACAGAGAAAATATTCTGAAACCAATTACTAGAAAATATAGTATATTTATTACTTTTAGTCTCAGGCAATAGAAATAATAAAAAGTAGGTGTCAGCAAACACGTAAGCCTACTTCTGGATACGTAGCATATTATATGCTATATGTATATTACATTTTCATATGCATATATTTAAGTGTGTAAATGCGTATGCTTTTTCGTGCAAGGCTTTGTCTCTGGTCATGTGGCTTCGTAAGAAATCTGCCAATTCATGCCAAGAGACTGAATATTAGAAAGTGGTAATAGTAATAAGACGGGTGAAGAAATTTAACACGTGGTCAGGAAGGGATATGGAAGAAAAGTCATAAGAGTTTTTCTTAAAGTTGCTACCTCATGTGGACTGGAAAAGTAAATGAAACTCCTAGGGAAGATGGGGATGGAGAGAGAGAGAGAGAGGAGAGAGAGGAGCTGCAGATGCTTCTAGCAAGTGCTCCATAAACAGCACTGCAGTCCTGGCCACTTTCAGAGTCATGCCTTAGGTTCACTCCTGTCTACGAGTTCCGTGAGACATGTTAGTATTTCCAAAATACATTCCTCGTTTCGCTTAAGATCGTTCTGACTGAGTTTCTTTAACCTGGAGCTAAGGCCCGAGTGACTCAGATGTGTCCTGAGATGGTAGACAAAAAACAAAACTGGTGTCTTCTGTGAAAATGTTGTTTTCAAATATTGCCTCTTAGAGTATAAGAGAGGGGTCACTTCCAGCATTATTATTCCATTTTCAGTGTCCAGCCACTCGGGGCAGCATAGAGAGGGAACAGGGCATTCAGAGAACGATGACTGGGCACCACTGCCATACAAGTACCGTGTCACCATTGGTGAGAACCCTAAGAAGGAGTAAGGCCTGGTCTCCTTAGAAACATCCCTCTGAGTAGGTGAACGAGCTGCGCGCTGATGATTTCAGTATGATTTGATGCTGTTCCTATGATCGTCAGCCTCGCTGGGTAACGGGATACCTCATTACCTGGTAAAGTGTTAGTTTGGGTTTGCCTGTGAGCGTGTACCCAGAGAAGATTAGCATGCGATCCTAAAAGGACTTGGTGAGGAAGCAACCCACCCACCAAGTGGCTGCAACCTCTCAGCCAGGTACCTAAAGAGAACAAATGTGGCTGAGTCCTCTGCTTTGAGACATGGGGTGGACGTATTTTGTATTTTCTGCTGCCTTGGAACTTAGAACTCAAAGCTGTTCACCCTTGAGATTCTGAATCTCCTGGGCTCTCAGGCCCTCGGCCTCACATCAAAACTTACAGCATTGGCTTTTCAGTGCCAAGAGACTCGGATTTGAACGGAGCTACGCTGCTGTTATCCCAGGATCTCTAGATCGCTAAGCATCTGCTGTGCAGCTTATCAGCCGCCGTAATCACACGAACCAATTCCAATTCTCACTCATGCAACCATATAGTCTCTTACTTCTGAATCCAGAGATCCCAACACAGGTGCTTTGAGGATCATAAGGCATCACAAGAGAAGGTGACTCGGATAGCGCAGGAAGCTAAGGAAGGGGTCTGGAGGAGGTTATGCCAAGTTCTACAGAATTTCCCATGCAGCTTCAGTAGTTAAGGTGCCAGTGGGTATTGCTAGGAGAGAACAAGAAGAGAGAAGAAATCGAAGGTTTCATGCCTTATCCTACTTTGTCCTGGACACTGTCAGAGACACATACACTGGGAGGGGAGATGTTCCTGTGCCTGAGAGAATTTGCTTTCCTTCTGCAATGAAATAGTTAGGCATTTTATAGTTTCCACTCATGTCATTGCTCTTGATGTGAGCAAATTACATGAAAATCAGAGTGAAATGTTCCGGGTTAAGGGCTGGAGAAAGTAGGTAGAAGGGCACTTCACTAGCATGCACGAAGAAGTTTTGAGTCAAATAACTTGAGATTGTTCTCCATTTTGTTTGGTTTTGCAAGGTCTTTCTATGCAGACAAGACAAGGCTGGGACTCCCCATCTTTCTTCCTTTGTGTCTTGAGTGCTGGTATCAGCACACCCAGAAGTAATATCACTATTTACATACTACTTCTTATTTGTACACTTTGTTAGTTCTAGCATATATTCACTCATTCATTCGTCTGTGCTTGAAACTAAGCTCAGGGCCTTGCACCTGCGAGGCGAGTGCTATGCCACTGAGATACATTCAGGTAGGAAGACACAGGGACCCACGACTGTGCAGTGTGCAGAGAGTGAGAGACCTCGTAGCACTGCGTGGTAAATGGGATGTCACCATCGCTCCACTCCCCTCATGGCTTAGGGATCCATCCAGAGGAAGGACTAGAAAGATTTTGAGAGCCAGAGGTAGTAAACAACTCAATGGACACAGTGTCTTCCAGGCACAACAGGACCGAGGAACTCACAGAGAGTGGGGCAGCATGCTTAGGATCTGCAGAAGTTCAAGCCAGATGGGGTCCTAGCATTGAGGAGAGGAAGTGGATATGGGGTCCCATTCCTAACCAAGAAGCTATATGCAGTTGATCGCTATTGGCTAAGGGACAACCATTTTTCTTCAATGGAGTGTCATTGGCTATATCAACCACACTTTAGGCCAGGAAACCATGCTCAGGAAGAGTTGGCCAGCACAAAACAAATTCTGCGTTTTTTTTATGTTACCTTTCTGTTTTTGTCATCTTTTATCTTATTGGTTTTGTTTGTTTGTTTGCTTTTTTTTTTTCTTTGACATACACACACACACTCAGAGAGAGACAGAGAGGCAGAGAATTAGGGAAGAACAACATGACTAAAATTTATCGTATGGAAATTATTTTAAATAAAAATATAAAATAAATATGAAAGAAAGAACAAGCATGAGCAAAATTGCATGAAGGAAAGTAAGGATGTATTCAGTGTTCATGACTTTGAGACGAAGATATTTCCTTAAAAAGGCATTTATTTGAGAAGAGTCGTGCTGTAACTGTTATGGTGCCCTTGATCATACTTTCATGCATATAAAGATATTTTTCAAGTACCTAGTAGGTGCCAAGTTATGTTGGTGCCAGATTTATACCAGTTGCGTAAAACAGTTAAAATGTTTAAAAAAGGACTCAGACCTCTGACCTCATGGTCTTTCTCCTAGTGAATTTGATCTTTCATAGTGTAGGATTTAACAGAGACTTATCCAAAATACTGTAGCCGGGGGGCGTTATTATGAGACTTTAAGCCTGTGACATCTTTAGTTATTTCCAAGTGTTTTAATAAATTAATAAATCCTAAACACTGTCTCACAGTCTTAAAGCAGGGTGAAGCTTACCTCACGGAAGAGCCCAGCGTATAGGGTTTGTGGGGGATTCCCTGACTCCCAGTAGTTGATCTGTTTTCTAATGGCTGCCAAGAGTACCCACGCATAACTCTAGGGCCTTGCTCTAAAACTAGCTTTTAATACTGCTGTTTGTTTTGCTTGAGGAGCCTGGTGCTATATTGGGGCACCTGCTGTTCTTCAGAGCCCTTTCTTATGCGTCAACGCGATTCTTTTTCCCTCAGAGGAACCTGCTCCCATGTGATCCGCTTTGGCAGCCAAGCATTAGTGCCAGAACATAACGTGCAATTAGTTCATTCTTGCCTCTTTGCTAATGTTGCTGGGCCCTAGGAATATGTGTCTTATCATAACATCTAGCTGGCACTTCTCTGCAAGCAACTCATTCTTCCCAAGGCCCCGTCAGCCACTGACATTTACGGAGTCTGAAACTGTTTGTTAGGAAACTATAAAATTATATAACTCTGAAAACGGCATCATTTGTTATTTCAAATGATAAAAAATTAAGATGTTTGCTGGGCGTTTCAAAAGGTAGGTCTTGGGGTACAATTGGTTAACAGTGATAGTACTTACATTCTAAGAGTTCAAGGACTGTGTTCTCAAAGGATGTTCCCCTCCGTGTTTGTTATTTTTGCTGAAGTTTAAATTACATAATAAGTGAATGTGTGGCAGAAACACACCACAAGCCTCCTTCTCTTTATGTTTTGTCTTCAGTTTATTTGAGGAAGTGATATCTTCACAAACCCAGAGCTCCTTAACATTGCTTGTTATGGCAAATACAATTATTTTTTTTTTATACAATGGATGCAGAATAATAAAACATTTTCAAGCTGTCTGACCCAAACTAGATAATGGTTTTTATTGTTCTGGGCTTTAGTAAAAATTAAGGGAAACTTTTGAATTTGACTTGCTCTCTAGATCCACTTTTGAAGTACGGCAAGGTATGAACTAATTAAAAGAAACTTATTTATAAGTTATATTTTTAACATCCTAGGAACATTTTGTCTACTCAATG